CCCTAGGGAGGCACTCAGAGCCTGGAAGGTGGTTGGGCGCAGTGAGGTGGGTGGCTCAACGCAGGAGCGCCCCCTACTGGCCCGCCACAGTATGTACATATACTTGTTTCTTTTCTGTCCTGTGTGAACTGATCTAAGTGATTCCAGTAGCTGAAATGGCCCTGGGGACTCTAATTAGCTGTAGAGACCAAGGGAGCAGAAGGGCTGGGGTGGAGACAGTCAAGGCTAGGACTGGACGTACTTTAGGCAGCTGTTGGAAGAGCTCCCCAATCTTCAGAATGGTTACGAGGATGACAAGTGAGGCGATAACACCAGCCACCTGGAGAGGAGAGAGGCAGCCTGTGAGGAGAGGCGGGAATCTCCATGCCACCCGCTGTGGGGCAAGGGCATCACAGAAAGATTCACGCATGAGAAAGCAAGGGCTTCCCAGCAACTGTTCCAGCCTGTTCCTCTTCTGCCCTCCCTCACATTCCCACCCCCATGCTGTGGCCATGCTTTTGCTCTGGGGGTGAGAAGTGCAACTCTGAGAACTGACCCTCTGCCCCCTACATGATCTCTGCTGGCTGCACCCAGAAGAGCATCCATAACAGCCAGCCCTTGTCACGAGCAAAAGGCAACCCCACTGCACTGCTACGTTCTGCTCACTGCCCTGCCCTGCTCCCTGCAGCCCTTGCCCTGCTCACACCAGGAAAACAGCAGAGGAGACCCCAGAGAAGTCTTCTCTTCCTGGACCTGGAGATGAGGTGAAGGGGTATGCTGATAGCATTGCACTCACCTGGCTGTTCCCACCTGTGCTCTCCTGAACCAGGCTGCGCGACATGGAGCAGCTGATACTGAAACACTGGAAAAAGCCTCCCAGGAAGTTGCACATCCCCAAAGCTATCAGCTCCTGCAATGACAGGCCAGGGGAAAAGGAGTCCAGAACTGCCTCCAGCCCCTCACTGCCCAGGAAAGAGCAAAGAGGCAGAGCTGGAGCCACACTACAAGAGCAGAGCGGGCCAAGGGACATGCGGGCTGAGGGGTTGGAGGGGAAAAGCAACGGGGGAGAGTGTGAAGGGAGGTTACGAGGAAGGGCAGAGGCCTGAGTGTGGTGGTGTCAGGTGAGTGCTTACCTGGTTGCTGTCTACCTTGTAGCCATGTTTCAGGGCAAAGATCTTGCCCAAGGAGATGCAGATGGCGTAGCCAACTATTGCTATGGCAAAGGCGTTGCCTACCACCCGTGCAAAGTAGTCAACCCTGGGAGACATCGGGGCCTTCAACCTGCAGCAAAGAGAGAAATACAGAGCTGGAAAGGGGCATTCCCTCAGCTGGTCTGGCCTGGCTGCTGTGCCAGCCCCTGCTCAATCCCTGGCAATGCAGAGAAACAGCACGAGCCCAACCTGCCTCTGACTCACCCGCTGGGGATGTCACCCACAACAGAAATCCCATACTTGTTCGTCAGGTCAGCTCCATAGGAGATCCCTGTAGACACAATGATCTAAGGAGAATGGTCAGAGTGAGACAAAGCACGTGGGGGTGCTTACCTTGTGGCCTCCCACCAGCCTGGGAGAGCACACCAGCCATGTGCTCAGGGCCCTCTGTGGAGGGGAAGCAAATGGGGTCAGCTTAGCTGAAAGCATGGTGCATGGGCAGGGCTGACCAGCAGCTGCTCCCTCAGTGAAGGGGCAACAGGACACAACCAGCAGGGGGCTTAAGACAAAACGAGAGTTGGGAGCACAGGGTCCATCACCTATCACCCATGGGGGACATTGAGGCCCAAGCCCCAGATGGCACCCACTGCTCCTGGAGGAGTCTGGGGCAGCTCAGCCTACAGGGCTCTGTCAAGGTTGGGCAGCCAGGGCCCACCATGAATATGCTTTGGGGTGAAGGCTGAGACCTTGGGTGCTGCACTGGGGCCACTGACTCACTACACCCTGGTCACTAAACCCAGCCACTGCGGGTCAGGTGCTAACTAGTGGCCTGGGGATGAAAACATATTGGACTGTCTCTTCTGTACAATGAATGGAGTGGATGCCTCCAGGACCAGTAGCTTTGCTGACCCTCTGCCTGTCATGCAGGCAGGGACTCTGGCTCCAGAAGCTTCCTGAAGACTGGAGGCACTAATGGAAGAGGAGCTGCCTCCTGCCTGGCCTTAGCATGGCTCCTGAAGTCTACTGCCCTCCTGAGATCATCCCAGGGGCATCTCAGACCAGCACACACCAAGCTGCCTGTGACTAGACTCAGCCAAAGCCTGACTGTCTTCAGTTATGCTACCTGAGCAGGGAGGCCTCACAGAACTGGCAAGAGAAGAAGAGCCAGTCCAACAAATGATGGTGCCTTCAGCCCCCAAACAGGGATAAAGAACTAAACCTCTGTGCTCTGGGGGGTGGGGATGGTAACAGGCAGCCTTTCCACCCCTAAATGCCTGTGGAGAGAGGGCTAAAGAAAGCCATGGAGAGGGAAGAGAGGTGGGTCTGTGCTGTCCCCCTTTTACCGTGATGAGCTCGATGGGGATGGGCATGGGCAGTTTGGAGGAAAACTTGTGGTTGAATATCTTCACGACAAAGATGACAAACATGGCAATGAGGGCGGTGATCAGGGTGCCCACGTTCGTCTGGGGCAGTTTCGTGCAGATCTCAATGAAGCTCTAGGAGAGAAAGGGAAGTGAAGATTGTGACCCAGTGCACACGGCCCTGTGGCATGGCTCCCTACATCCAGGTAGCAGGTCAGGAGGGGCCATTGCTCACATCTCTGCAAGCAGGGCCCATGTCTTCCTCTGGTGCACAGAGCACTTATCTCTGCTTGAGCCTCTCCCTGCCCAGGGTCTCTAGGCACAGGTGTAACACAATCAAGGATAACAATGAAAACTATGTGCTAGCATGACTGTGCCATCAAGGAAAGCAGCCTGTGCAAGCTCCCTCCCAGTTGTACCCCATAGACACCTAGTTACCAAGTGCTGCTCTACCAGGGCAGTTACTGGGGAAGCCCAACCCAGGAGCAATCCTGCTCTACCATCCTGCTATGAAAGGTGATTTTGCTGGGAAATCCTATTTCCAGACCCTGTTAGGGAGCCCTGATCTCTGGGACAGCAACAAAACTGGATTCTTCCTGCATGCAGGGTATTTAACACAGCTAATATGGTGACAGCAGCCTGCTGGCAGATCCAAAGCTGGGTCAATGACCAGAGCTCCATGGGCTCTATGTACAGCATGATGGGCTCAGCATGGGTTTTGTACAGCACGCACTGACTTTCTCCTCAGCTTTAAGCAAATTCACATGAAAGCCAACATGAGTGAAAACTGGGTAAGATGTGCAGTGTCAAACATGAGGAATTTTTGTGGTATATTTTTCCTATCAACCCACCTGGGTTCTCCAGGAGCTCCACATACTCTGTCAACGTTATCACACACACCCCGACACACAGAAGCCTGTAGTTTGACAGTGTTCTGTACAGGGAGCCCTGGGGAATCACCAGTCACCTGCCCCAAACTGTCCATGCCCAGCCCTACTTACCGTGAACAGTGACAATGGTCCTGAGTGCTCACCCAGGCGCACTCCAAAGACGTACTTGAGCTGCGAGACTAGCACATGGACAGAGGCAGCAGTAGTGTAGCCACGTACCAGTGGATCCGAGAGGTACGTGACCACAAAGCCAAACTGCAGCAAGCCCAAGGCAACCTGGAAAGAGACCCAGGAAGGGGTAGGCCAGGCTGTGAGCAAGGTCCTTTCCAAGAAGCCTCACCCCCTGTGCCACCCAGCAGTGTCCTAAGGCACAGTGGGGTGGCACTAAAAAGGAGCTTGCTTTGGTGGGGTGGAGCTAGGGAGATTCACCCCTGGTAAAGCGTGGAACTAAAGGGGGGTTGTAGTGGGGGGTACTGAGCCCAACTTTCAATTCTTCCTGTGGAAGAAACAAAACACTTGGACTTTCATCCCCAGAGTCCACTGGTTACCCTGCAAAGTCAGCAGACCAGAACCTGGCCAACTGTGAAGGGCTCTGCCGAGAGTGCTAGCAAGCCGGACATTCAGGCCACCTGGCTGTGGTTGTCCCCAGGCAGTGGGGCGGGCTGGGCACAGTGACCACCACCATCTCTGGCATTTGACTGGATAGCTGTGGGACCAGATCCTGCCAGCAAAGGTTGGGGCCGGCATGGTAACAGAGCGACAGGCTGCTGAGCTGGGTAGGCCCCAGTAATCAGTGATGCATGGACTATCTTACTCCACAGAGCAGGCCAAGTAGTGAATGCATGGCCAAGTACTACCACCCCAGGGAGGGACAGTCCTGGCCTGGGAGTTGCTCATACATATCAGCAGGGCCCCATGACAGCCCCAGCCTGGAAAAGTGCCCAGGCCAGACTCCACAGGCAACAAAGTGGTGCAAGATAATGGCTACCAATCAACCTGGGCTGTGAAAGCAGCTTCCGCTGTGCTGGATTACATGGGGTGGTTTGATGAGCCTGCAAGTCTGCTTGACAAACATGACTATGATGATGTTCACACAGAGACAGCTGTCAGGCATTGGCCTGGGCACTGCCTGGCTCACCATGTAAGAAAGCATGACAGTACAACATGTTGGATGGCTGACGGGTCTTGAGGGTAACCATCATGGGGGAATCATCACCATGCACCACCCTGGGGGCTCTCACCCCTATGCTATGTTACAGGTTTATCAGCAGCATGGAAGAGAAGGTGGGATCACAGCAGGAAACCCAAAGGCTGGGAGTGGGGGAAGGAAAATAACAAGGAGAACAGTAAGATAAAGACTGGACAAAAAAGGAACAAAAAGAGGGCATGTGGGAAAGTGACGGAGAGTATGAGGAAGTGTGTGCAAAATAATAATCAGGAAAGAAAGGAAGCAAAGTGGTATG